GGGGGGGGGGGAGGAGAGAATAGAGCGGAGCAAATGCCGGCCGTGATTCACATTCGCGCAAAAGCAATCCGCCTGGATCGATGGGGGCGGTGATCCTGAGGATCCAGAGGGTCTTAAGGATCCCAAGGATCGCGCAGCCGTTTTAAAGATATTAGTGCAGTTTAGGTCGTTAATCGTAACGTGTTTGACGTGTTGATTATTATGTTAATTCTTAGAAATATATATATATATATATATATACACATAGGAAGATCTATACATGGATTATATAGAAATATATCATATTGTGCAATGGTGGATGATACGGTAGGATGAGGAGGGACAATGAAATTTAATTTGATCCTGAAAATATTTATCTGGTTGGTTAAAACTCGTTTGAGATAACTCTTGTATTGTTAATCATTTATATTTAATGTCTCTGCTATGTCCTACATTTTATTTTGACGCCATTGTGGCTTTCGGCATGACCAGCCTCGATCGACAGATTTTCATTGTATTTACGCGGACCAGTTCACCGACAATGGCTAATTACGTTTGACATGTCGATAATATATATCGGTGATTCTCTTGTAAGAGAGACACTCGAATATTATCGTATACATATACACGAAAGTTATAGCAAACGAAGAATAGATGAATATTCGAGGTCTCGTCCAATGGCTTGATTGCGCCTAAAAAAGAATGTTTTACTTTTAGCAATATGAATAATTAGATCGATAGATTAATTCAGGAATTGGTAAAAAATATATATACCTGTACATATATATGCTTGAAGGATCGACGTATATGGGTTTTCATTGAACTCGATTCTAATTTGTCAACGATGATCAATTTGAACGTGCTCTTAGAATACAATTCTAGTCAATACTTCCAATTTCTTGTCACGAGTGCTCCATCTTGTTCTTCTTCTTCTTCTTCCTTGTATTCGCCATAACTTCTAATTAAACTTGTCTACCAATTTCTGAAATGGTCAATTTTTAGAGTAGTGTCTGCCCTGCGATAGCGCATAACTGTGTTATACATGAAGTGATAACGATGAAATGAGAAAAAAAAGTACGCATTGTTATTAGTAAATTATTGGGTGAGAGGACGAATTACAAAGAGAGAATATACCCAGATAACACAAATGAAGAAAACATCCACAAGATGTCTTCAAAAGGTCTTATATCATGGGTTTTGACGTTTTGTTAAAAAAAAAGTCTTTTAGATATGAGGCATTTATATGATGTCAAGACCTATGATATATAGACGTTTTGAAGAAGACATCTCGTCTTCTTCGTAATTTGTATTATTGGGGTAAAATAAATCCGGTGTGAATTCAGGCATGTTTTACGATCACGATGAAAATTCGTCAACGCCCTCGTGCTAATTATTAGATATATTTCCCATCGTTGCAAATATTTAAAATATCCTAAAGCGTCAATATTGTTAGTTGTAGCTTATAGCGTTATGTACAAAATAACTATTGTATTGGAGTCTTACGTATATATACCTCTTCAATCAGAAATACACCGTCATACTAAACCTAAAAAAAATTTAAGAAAATATTCGCAGCAATGAATAATTTAATGTCGCAGTTGAATTTAAGCCAACGCGAAAGAGTAGGTGTTCTGTATTCCGATGTATTTAAAATGTTTAAACAATAAAGCTATTGCTAACTATTGCAACGTGTCAGTGTAGTTTTCCAACATTTTTTTAGACGATTGTCAAATAAATTCAAGTAATATGAATAAAAGAATTTCAGTAACCGTGACAGATCGTCACGAGCATTTAAAAATTCTTGTTCATGTCATTTTTAACGTTAGTGAAGATCATGAGAGACAGGATATCAAGGTTTTATCATGGTAAATGATTTGTTAATATATTTAAAAAACTTTTCATTACATGAACAAATTTATGAATTAATTTGAGAACTAAGAAAAAATCTGTTCAGGCATTTTACGAAAAGATAGTCGAAATGGGCTGAAAAGTGATGAGAGGGCTGAAGAGGAAGATAATATTTCTTCGGTGGACGAAGATATTCAGGATAATGATATTGGTATTGAATCTTCTGAAGGGGAGATAGAAGAGAGGCCATGTTTTTGCAAAACGTCTCAACCGCCGGCCAAGTAAATCATGTTGCAATTATTTCAAACATTTTTGCAATTGTATATCTGGTCTAATGATATCCATTAAATAGGTGGTTGCATTCTGTCAAGAAGTTGATTAACAAAATAAAGAAACCTTTTGAGAAACAACACGAACAATCCAGTACGTCATTGTTAGCCTCTAATGAAGAGATACCTTACAAAGAATCGGAAGAACTAGCAACTGTAATGCCTGAGGATGAAGAAGAGACGAAATTTCTTCACGAAGAACAAAAGGGTGAAATAAAAATAGAAATGAAAGATCAGAAGATGGAGAATAAAGGGCAGCAGATAGTACAAGAACAAGAAGAATCGAAAGAGGTAAAAGAGGAAGAACCAGAGGAGGAGACGCAGCCAATATTCAGAGATATGGAAATAAAAAAAATTGATGAAGTCACAAAAAACGAAGAAATCGTCGTGGAATTTTCTACAATAACACGGGAACAATTTCGCAACATGATTCGTCATATCGATCCATTATCAGTGATTCGGATTGATCATAAATCCTTGCCTACTGAAATCCCTGGAGAATCTCGTATCTCTTCCGAGTGGGAAAATTTACCACCACAGGTAATACTTGTTTGGCATTCACTAATAGTAGGTATAATAATATCATAGGACATTTTTTAATGGAATTTTAGATTATTGATAAAATAATGGAAATGACTTCTCGAAATGATATCGATCAGTGTCCAGTGTCATGCTGCTGCCGATTTTCAGATGATTTGATCAGGATGTATCATGCTGTGCAATTACTTGTGAAAAATGCCAATCAAATTGATGCTAACTCGGAGCAGTGCAAATTTCGAATGTCATTTAGTGAAGTTGAATTTTTTAAAAATAATAATATGTGTCAGGCAATAATTTCAGCGATGAGAGGAGCGTATGCAGAGATGTACGAGTTGACGGACATGTGGCGAGAAGCTAATGAAAAACTTATTGTTCAAGAAAGAGAATTTGGAATTGCAAATAGTGAAGTTAATGATTTTAAAGAAGATTCTTCTCAGTTACGAACCATACGTCATCAAGTGCAACGCTTAGAGTGGAAAATGGATCAAACTAAAAATCTTCTGCTAGACTGGCAGAGTTCTGGCAAGATGGAGCGATTACGTACTGAACAAAGAAATGTTGAGCAAGAAGCAGAAAGACAGTCAGAGAATTTATACATGGAACGGAGAAATGATTGTATGGTATGTTGAGTTTGTTAATTGGAGTTTCGTTAAAGATTATCATTTTTTTCTTACTCATAGAATGCAGTGCGCAATAGCTTGGAAAGGAAGGTAAGATTAGAACAGGACAATTTTGAACGAAATGCTGTAAGAGCTCAGCAGAGACAAAAAGACATGATCATTCTTCTGAGATCTGCGACGCTTTTACAAAATTATATCAGTGACCTTAGAGCACGACATTAGAACTAATCAGAATGCAATAAAATCCAAAATTATGATGCTGTAAGCCTCTGAGATAAAGGTACGTAAGTAATATTAAGTTCATCAAATTCATCAGCACTTTCATGATTCCAAAGGTTTTGTTCCGGTGGTACATTTCTTACTGGTGTTTCACAAGAAATTGCATTGGTGTTTGTTCTATCTGTGCTACATATTTTTTGAATAATTTCCGACATATTTAAGTTCTCTTCTTCTGGGTCGCTTGCAAAATCTTCAGGAGTCAGTTCATCAAACATTTTGTCCAGTGTATTGTTAAAGTTTCTGGCAACTCTTTCAGTTGCAAGAACTCTTTCGATTTGGGGATCCTGTTTTCTTTGAGTACTAAGAATTTTACATGGTATTTTTTCTTGTACTTTTTTGGTATTCTTATTCTCCTGTTTCGATCTTTTCGGTGTGACACTCAACCGGCCAAAGGATTCCTCAAGTTCTGCTAATTTATTTACCACCATAAATTCGTCTATTTTTCTATTGCCTATAGCAGATGACGGCTTGTTTTCTCGTTTCCTTCTAGTCGCTTTGCTTTCAGGAACTGTCTCTTCATTTTCAGAAGAAAGTACTGTTGCTGCCTTCTTTCTGCGGGAGGTTACTGGTTTCTTTTTCTTTTTAGCGTTTCTCGCATCGTCAAATTCTTTTACCAGGTCTGGATAACAATTTTGCACCATGTTCTGTGGTTCGATAGTGATTAATTCTTCAAGAATATTTGTTTCATCATTATTGTCTGCTTTGACCTGTTCTAATAGTTCCTTTAGATTTCCTGTTTCAGCCTTCCAAAGTACCTCGTAACTTGCTATGCAACGTATATTTCTGATTTTTTTTATTGCTACAGGAACTATATAATGTGATACTGACAGCCGTTGTTTAAGCATAATTGCTGGTAAATGCAGAAGCTGCCAGCGTGTTGCCAATGGAAGAATTTTAGTAACAGTGTATTCGGGTGCCCATCCTAGTTGTCGTTCCATGAAATGCTGTTGATAAAACAAATCGATTTTCTGCATTCCATTTTGTTCATTAAAACGAAAATATGGATACGAAACTTGCAACTGCTGGCTTACCACAAATTCGATAATTTGTGGCTGCTTCCATTCCAGACTCAATGCTGTGGGTACTGGACCTTTTCTTACAAGGAATTCGTCGATAAGTTCTTGGTTTGGAAAATCCTCTATGAGTAAAGCTTTTTTTCGTAAGCTCACTTCGTTTGATATAAACGCTCGTCTTTCTCTGTTAATAAAGACGATTTTAGAATTTTTATAGGCAGTAAAGCATAATTGGAATATAAAACTTCAAACATAGCTCACTTGTAACTTTCTTTACATTTAGAAAAGGTGCCACAATCTACACATCCTGTTTTAGCATGGACTCTGATCTTTCCAAGATGACCACAGGATGTACAAATATTTGAATTGGATAATTCTGCTTCCATCATATCAAACTTTTTGTCTGTTCGCCAACTTTTTATTCTGAAATCAAGAGCGATATTTGCAATTCTATCAATCTTCAAATAATACATTAAAAAATTATTTGGCATGCGCACCTGTCCAAAACATCTTCTCCTTCTTTGTCCAAGAATTTAAATAATTTCAATGCAGCTTCCTTGCCAACTCCGCTCACACCATCTCCATAATCACAACCACAAAGAAGAGCCATTGCTATCATTTTCCTTCGATTTAAATTAAACACCTGCTCTATTTTTTCCATAGTGTATTTATCAATAGCACCACCAGAAGCTGACTTATTACCTTGACTTGCACAGAAATTTCTGTACACAACATTTGCTCCATAAAGAAAGCAGTCACTGTCTTGACTAACGCATCCATCTACAAGCTAAAGAGTAATCGTTATTTTTAAAGAAGAAATATGTTTATCTAGTTCTAAAAAGAGACTAGAAGAGCAATGTTACCCCATCTTCATTCAAATATGCACACATTGCTTCTGCTTCACCATATCCTTGAACACATGCCAGACCCATGTACTTTAGCATCTTTTCACATTCTCTTAGGACATTATTGAATCGACTGCGGCCTCCCTTATTTGCGGTTACTCTTGAAACAATACCACGACGAGTATCATTTCTTTGAGCTATGGTCTTGTGTTTTAAGTCAGGTGCTTTACCTTCCAGCACAAATACAGGTGAAATTCCTTGGAGAAGAAGATAGGAGGTCCGAAAATACAGATTTCTGTGATAACAAGAATTAAATCTATAATAAAGTATAAACCAACGTTGAACTATGATTATCCTTACCGGAGATACATCTTCGGCTGAGCAGCATTGTCCGTTACACTTTGACTGTCAACGATCCAACAACTTAAATCGATTGCTATGGTTTTACCCTGAAGCTCAAAAAGAGGTTTCGTCTCGCACAGTGGCGAAAGAACATTCCAAAGATCCTTTACGCCCATTTGTCAAGTAATTTTAAATGCATCCAGATCGTATAAACTGAACTAAGTTCCTGTTGACCATTGCGTACACTAAATTTCAAACAGTAGGCGGGTAGCTCAACGGTATAACGGCTTGAGTGATAATTGCAGTGATCAATGTGACCTAGTGCCAATGTGTTACCTACATATGGAATAGACTTACATATGCATACGTGGAATTCTAGAATGAGGTCGCAAGAGTCGCATGCATACCTTGCCTGTCAGCTTGTCATAGGAGAAGGGAGAAAGGAAATATTTCTTAGAGAATGAGGTAGTAATGGCCGTATCGTGGTTGGTGGTGTCCTTGATTTTGATCTGTTTTGATATTCTCAAGTCTGCTGAGAATGAGTGATCCATCGCGAAGGCTCAAGAATCCGCTGCTATCAGCTGCGGGCGTCGGATTTCCTTTTGACAATTTAGTGGAAAATAATTTTCTTGTGCCTGTGGCTCCTGCTGCCCCAGCTGTTCTTCCCGATGGTGAGTCTCATAACCCAAAAGATCTTTGGGTGGGGCTTATATGACATAATCATTCATCAAATAATCTTTATTTCCTACTTGTATTCTGATATGACGACGAACTTCTTTCACGTGTTATGGCATTCGTAAAACTGGAATGTCCTCGCAGCTCTTTATTTTCGTTACATCCAAAACAGACCCCACGGTTATCTACTTGCTGCGTGCAGACTCGGCCGGTATCGTAGGATTGCTTAGGTTGAACAACACGCATCTAAATACAATTATTTTTTATATACAATATGTAATTTAATAGCACGTTATCTCATTGGTTGTTTTAATAACATGGGCAAATTAGTTATTTAGTATTTAACTAGTTATATAATTTTTTCATTATAAAATAAATTTTTGTATACAAGTTTCTGTGCTTGCGTCTACACTTTTAATATCTCCTAATGCCTATATATGTATATTGTATATAACGTTCATCGAAAATTGAGCTTTATTTTCGAGCTTGAACGATCATTACGATTTTCATGACTTATTTCATTGGCAAACACAGAATGTATATAGATTATCATAGTATGAGAAAGAAGTGGTATCAAGGCAAGTAATCTTAAACATTGGTCGAAGAGATAGTTACGCTATACCGGTTCCTTATCGTTTTCTGTTTTGCTGAATCCTGATTTAGTAGGTAACGACAACCATTGCTTTTTGTATCTACTTGGTATCATCCTTTACTTTTGAAATATAGACGAGATTATTAATAAGTATCATTTCTAAAAGCTCGTTCTTTCGGGTTTTGGAGCTGTCCTGGAGCCATAACGTTGGGTGTATGGGAGATCGAGACTCTTTCTCTTCCGAATGAAATAAATAACGATCAGCACTACTAAAATGATCAATAGCAACAATATCAAAATTCCCAGCACAATCGCTGCTATTTCTCCTTGTGTCAAATTAGTCCAAACTATAACAAATAGATAATTCGGTAGTTCTCAATGTTAATCAATTTTATTACCTATTCAATTTTTGTACAAAATTTACTTACCAGTAACGTCTATTGTTTGTGCGTTGGAATTACCTAATAAATCACTAGCCGTCACTTGTACGGTTGTATAACAGCAAGTAGCTGTATAATAAAAGGTAACAGAAGATTTTGTTCCACTCACAAAAGTTGTTATCGGATAAATACCAGAAGGCAGAGAAGTGACACGTTGTAAACCTATAAAAATAATATACAATTTGGTCAATGAGATCTGAAACAAATTATTGTATAAAACAAACGATAAACAGAATGAAATTACCTGTTCCTGAATCCGTGGCTGTAACTTCTACGCTCCATCGACTTTTCGAGCATTTGTCACTATCTAATTTGCCAGAACAATTGTCATTAAAGGAATAACTAATGCTTGGTTTTGTAGTGTCTGTTATCTGTAACAAGTTAAAGTGCAAGTTAGTGAATAGACAAAAATGTTTTTTTTTTAAACTCTGTCTATTATAATTAATAAAATGTACAAACCGCAACCGAGGTCGAGCTGGTTACATAGATATAGGCGGATTTCTCAACGGTTTCAATACCCTGCACGCTTAGTGTAACAGTATCGACTGTGCTATCGGATGTTGTTGCAGGAATTATAACGTCCATAGCGACACTGGTAGTTTGTCCAGAATTGATCCATGTTCTGTGAACATAAATGTTATAAAAAATTACAAAATCGATCCGAATGAAAGCGTCATGATTATTCTTGCCCAACTTACGCTCGTGGTTGAAGATTAGCTACACTGAAGGTTGAACTCCTTGCTTGAAAATAGTGTCTTACGGTCAAACTATGACTATTGGTAACATCGAAGATAATTCTAGCCAAAGTACCAGGTTTGACTATGAGACTAGTAGCAGGATTAACATCCACGAATAAAGTTCTAGTCCGAATAACATTGGTACCAGTGAGTCTGGCGAGATCCTCCGATTTTGATGCCTGGCCATCCTCGAGTTCCTCGGCCAACATCCTGGCCGAGAATGTACGATTGTTAACATCTTCAATTTTGAATTCCGCAGGATCCGGATCGATTTTTCGAATTACAGCGTCTCTTCCAAAATCTACACGAGTTTCCTTCCGGACGGCCATATTGCGCGGAAGCCGTCTGAATAACAAAGTTTCCGCATTGTTAGTGAATTCTGCAAAAGAAATTTTAAAAAATATCTCACCACGTTGCAATGTAACAACATACTCGCACGTCATCATCTAGCAATAGGAAGAGGAAGCGCTGGGCAAAGAGCAACTTGAGCATTACGCAATTTTATACGTATTCGCGGATCAGCAGCCAGCAGTGTGAAGTCTAAGCAGTGCTGAGACGTACGTCGTGCTGCTGCGTCTTATTCGTAGAACAGTTTAACGGATCTCCAAAATGTTCGTCTCCGGTTTTATATAACGCATTAGATTTATATTGTTCGAAAGTCGTGTATCCATATGCATGATGTGTGGTTTTTTTTTATGTTCGCGAGGATAAAGTGTGCGCAGAGTTTAACGGTGAGTCGATATCGTGAAATTAGAGGGATGGTTCGCATGTGCTGAGGGGGTTTAGAAGCCGTGTGGATGCGCGCGACGTTTTGTGTCGTGACGGGCGTCGGTTCCTGTCTCGGTGACAGTTTAGGATCCGACTCCTCTGTCACCTTGGCCTGTTCTTATCGTTAACACAAGGATATCGAATTGGCAAGGATTGCAAAGGGTTTTACTTGTTTGGCAGAAGGTCCGCTCTTAGAACATACTGGAGGTACGTCCATCAGGAAGACGACCAGTGCTCGTTCTTAAACCAGCAAATTGGTTATGTATTTCTCAGGGTATATATAGTATATATATTTATCAGGAAGAATAACATTTGTACTAGAAGTTTACAGCATCGATTCGAACCGCCACAAAAAGCTCTGGCCTTGCAACCAAGTTTTTCTATTTATTAATTATTCATATTAGTATCATGTAGGCATAAAGTGAATTTTAATTTAATCTTGACCTACATTTATTGTTAAGTGAAAAAAAAGGAAGATGAAAAATGTTTCCACAATTCGAGAAATTACGTGGAGAAACTGAATGCGTAACTTTTTTTTGAATGGACGCAGTTCTCTGTATTGCTATTGGACTGGTGCTAAAAATATCCAATATGACGTCTAACAGTGGCGCAACGTGTATCGGGCTACCCTTGCGTCCGTGAATGCATCTCCTCGATATCGACTGATGTTTCTAGACATTGAGATCGAGCTATATTCCATGACGTGAATCCTTATCGAAACGGGTAGTTGATTTGAATTGTATATACTTAAACGTTTATTTTTTAGAAAAAATCTCATCTTTTAATTACATTTGTTATCGTATATAACGCGTGGTGCGCATATTTCAATTTTTTATTAATTCCTAGAATACGAGAATTGTCAATACGAGCGTCATTTACTTTTTTTCTGATAAATCTTTACGTCACGTCTAAAGAAATAAATAATTATTTCGATTTTGTATTTATCAGTAATCTACAGCTTCCTATATAGATTATATTATTAAATATAGATAATTTTTTACCGTCAGCGTATGTGGCGTTGGCAATCGATGCTTCGGATTCTCGAGGAAATTCAATTTTTTCATCGTACACCTTCACAGCGAAAGAAACCGACGTGGCAATAAAAAATGCCAAAATCGTTAATCGAATTTGTTCCACCTTCATCACGATCGAGCACCTGATCCGACTATCAGGTTTTCCCTCGGTTTGAGAGTACTTATAGGCTCACTGTCACTGGGTGTACTCTATTCTGATAATTTCATGGGTGTAGACAAATTATTGCACAATCTGTGCACAAGGAGGGAAACCCTAAGCTCTAGGAAAAGACAATGAAAACGAGTTGGGTTTATCATAAAGCATTATCTTTGCTCGTAGGATGTGTCCCCGACGCTTTCATACTCTGTAACATCCTGTTCAATATTGACCATGCATGAATCGTACGTGAGACACTTGCCAAGAATTCAGGTTATATGAAAATTCGTAGTAAGGTACAATTATTAGGGAGACCAGTCCTGTTCTTAGGTGAATTTTTTGGTATCGTTTGTAGAATTTTAGAAACTGTTGAATTCACGATGTCACTTAAAATCGATATGAATCATTATTGGCCAAACTTCAATTCTTCAATTTATTCTTTCAGAAAGTGAAATTGGCGCCTTCGTAGCACAGGAACAAGCCCAAGGAGTACAGTCAATATCGCCTACGCGTATTAATACTGATAGCGAGACATTACACACGACGAGTACGCATCAGCAATCAACTGGCATTGATATATCTCCGGGGAATATACTGAATCAGGATTCTGCATCACAGCCTCAAAGACAAGGTTATTTTTCTTCGATATTGTCGTCGCTGCCAAACCTGTCACTGTCATCGATTAAGGGAGAGACGAATAGCCCACAAAGTTCAGGAGATCAAAGTGGAATCGATCAGAGTCATTATGGACGTCAAGATTTTCCTGGTACGACGGTAGCTTCATCAATTTTTGAGTCGTCAAATCCACACGATAATCAAATACAGAATCCATCAGTACCCTTGGTACCTGTGGAATCTTTTCAAGCAACTCCTCAACGACCTCCACCGGTGCAACCTCAAAGATCTGGTAGGTTTTTAATTCGAAAATAATCTACGGCTCTGAAAAATATTAATTTTTAGGAAATTAGGATGTTTGATTTAAAAAATATACTTTTTAGGTGGTCCTACCTCATTTCGACTGGGTTCTCAACGTCGATTGAAGTACGCTCCACCACCTGATCTAACGTCTAATACGCCGAAGTATCCGGCAGCCAACTTGACACCGTTTCCTTATCCTCAGGGGATTTCGTCTGCTACTACGTTTTTGGATCCTACCGCTGTTACGCATCCCCAAAGTTCTAGTAATTCGGTACAAAGTTATAGTTCTCCCGTACCAGGTATCAGTGAGAATCCTTCCCCAGCACAGACCAATTCTCCTTCCCTCAGAGAGTCCAACGGGGCCAGTCCTCTCCCTCCTGGAATTGTGTCTGATCCTTCTACGTTCATTACAGAGAGTCAGAACCCTTTGCAGAGTACTTATCAGCGAAGCGTTTCTTCTACGCATCCTTCATCAGCCCCTAGAAATATTCAACCCTGGGTTCCGGAGCCGATCACACCACAGAATACCCCTTCTACAGCATCTTTCCTAGAATTTGCTCCAATTTATCCCTCCTACTCTTCATATGCCTCGCATCCTGGTGGGACATCCTCTTCTGGTAGTATCGACATTGGAAAACCTACTGAATCTAGACATTTTACTTCACATCCTGAGAGTACGGGGATCACATTCGAAGTTTTAAATCCTATAAATCCTCAGCCATACAAGATCAATCAGGAAAGTATCGTCGAGGCTCCAACTTTGGTACCTGTCACTGAAAATCTTGGTGGGTCATTTCATACAGAGAGTACGTTCAGTCCAATTTCTGCTGCAAAAGTATCAGAGAAATTAGAGCATCTACTTGCTGAGCGACCTGAGGAATTTAAAGAGATTAAAAATTCTCTTAATTTTGATACTGAAGCGGTTGTAGACACAACGAAGGTTGTACGTCTTGAGAAGCAGAAGGAAACGGAATCAAAGACTTATCCATCAGCAGATTCAGTGAGAAAAGATTTGGTTCTTGGAGATGTAGTTACAGCTGCGGGTCACGTAACAGATATTCTGACGAACCAGACAGCTTTGGGGCAATTACAGCACGAGATAAAAAGGGATAACCTTTCACCTGCAGAAAAGATCATTGAGTCATCTGCAGAAAAATCCAACAAAACAGTACATTTCTTGGAGAATTCTCCAATTTCAAAGGCAACTTCAAATTATTTTACTTCGCTTGGAGAATCTCAATCTACTCCAAGTCTTTACAATCCTGCGACGTTCCAGGCGCCATCTCCTACTTCATATCTTGCACCAGCTACTGCAATAAATACATCAAATACTGCAATAAGTACACATTTAACTACTGCAGGCCCCGGAACTTCTCAATTTTGGATTCACGATACAGGACATTCAAATGTTCTCAATCCCGTATATGGAGCGCCAATCCAATGTGCACCAACATTTTATGATCCTACACAATTTGCACCGAATCAAAATCTAATCAGTAAGGATCAGTCAACAAGTGAAATAGGATTCCTCGTGGGGAATAGTGGCGGATACATTGCCCCTCCGACACCTCCTATGACAGCAGCAGCCCCGGAGCCGTCGGGATCAGCTACATTGAATCCAGTTCAGATGTCCGCAAGTCCTCTGGGTCGTACGAGTCCAGATACCATTCCGTTTAGTCTGCAGAAACTGGTAAGAACTATGAAGCTCCTGATAATATTGAAGATAGTGCTCAAAGACGCTAATTGGCTCCTTATTTCTTCTCATTCATCATAATATATACTTTAGAATACCTTATATTTCATCAATGAACCTTAACGATTGTTAATGAATGATTACTGTCGTTATAGGCAGCAGGGACAACTGAAAGAAGAATGCAATACAGACCAGTGTATCTCCATTGGTTTCATCGGAGGATGGTGGAGAATAAGATTTTATGGCTTCCATTTTCTATGCAAGACAGTCTCAATCTGGAAGAGGTGCATAATTCTACTGAAATCACACCAGACACTACAGTGGCTACTGACGGTGGTCGATACGACGTTAATATTTTAAGAAGACAAAGAAAACCAGTCTACTGGTCAGGAAGCCCTGGAGAGGTTAGAAGATGTTCATGGTTTTATAAAGGACCTTCTGAATCTCGATATGTTCCATACGAGGAGAGTACAGCAGTCAGATTAGAGGAAGAATACAAGCAGTGTTGCCTAACGGATAATTGGAACAAAAGAGTTGAACTGAATAATGGCGAATACATTATTTTCCACAGTGCAACTGTCCAGGGACATTATCTTCAAGCAAGTTCACCTGAATTAGCACCATCCTGGGGTAACAGCGCTGTAAGTCATCAAAGCTTTATTGCACCTGCACGTACATATTTAATCCTTATACAATTTTGTGTAAATTTCGATTGCCAATTTATTGACTATCATACACACATTTTTTTACACTATGCTATTATTTATTTCACATAACATTGCTCATACACGATTTGAAGTAATGCACGCATGGTTCTGTTCGAATCCTGATTTCTCCAGGGTTCAGAGGACAGTACATATTTACAGGGTGCATCCAGCAGACCAAGGGTTGTTAAGAGAGGCGTTAGTGAATTTAATATTGATGAGGGTGAACCTGAGAAGGTGGATCATCTTCTGTTCCTCGTTCATGGTATTGGCAGTGTGTGCGATTTGAAGTTCAGAAGTGTTGAAGAAGTAGGTTAGTGTCTAATAATAAGTGATGCACCACATTGTGGATTATTAACGATTTCAGCGATCTATTGATTTTGATCATTGATTTAATAAACTTTTTCTTTAAATAGTTGATGAATTCAGAAGTATATCTCTTCAACTGGTGCAATCTCATTATCGAACTGCTAGTGAACATGGAATTGTAAACAAGATAGAAGTTCTACCAGTATCTTGGCATACAACTCTTCATTCTGAAGACACTGGGATAGATAAGAAACTTCAAGCCATAACCTTGAAAAGCATTCCTAAATTACGTCACTTTACCAATGATACTCTTCTGGATATACTGTTTTACACTAGTCCCATATACTGTCAGACAATCATGCAGACAGTTGGTACCGAACTGAACAGATTGTATGGCCTTTTCAAGGAAAGAAATCCAGGATTTCAGGGTGGAGTTTATTTGGGTGGTCATTCCCTGGGAAGCTTAATAATCTTTGATCTTCTTTGTCATCAAAAACCTCCTGACGAAGAGATTCCAGAAGAACAAAGTGATGGAGATGCCAATGTCAGTGAGAACGGATCTGTATGTATTGAATAACATTTTCTGATTTTCTATCTAAAATTCTAACTTATCTATATAATTCCTTAAATTTCAGAAAGAGGATAATCTAGAACCCATTAAATCTACCCCTGTCCCAGTACTGAAACGACGTCTCAGTAAAAAAATTAGTTATGTCATGGGAGCTGCTGGTACTGGCCAACCTTACATTCATTATCCGGAACTCAATTTTCATCCCAAAGCCTTCTTTGCATTAGGTAGTCCAATTGGCATGTTTGTTACTGTTCGAGGCATCGATACTCTGGGAGAAGATTTTGCTTTGCCTACGTGTCCTGCTTTCTTCAATATCTTCCATCCATTTGATCCTGTCGCTTATAGGATTGAAGCACTGATTGATCCTCAAGCAAGTAACTATAGGCCTATGCTAATTCCGCACCATAAAGGAAGGAAACGAATGCACTTAGGTAAGTTGGTATACAAATGAATCGGAACCGTAATGAAATATCAAAAATATGTGAATTTGTGCTTTTCTTTTTCTACAGAATTAAAGGAGACAATGGTACGAGTTGGAACAGATTTGAAGCAGAAACTACTGGATTCTGTAAGGACCACGTGGAACTCTGTGTATCAGTTAGCCATGTTTCATAAGTCAGATAATCAAGCCCTTGAAAGAGAAATAGATAAAGTAGTTGAAGAACAACTACAGAACAGTCCAACTGAAACTGAACAGCAGGCTAACGACGATGGTGGAGCTGATATTAAGATAGGTAAACTCAATGGGGGTCGCAGGATCGATTATGTTCTCCAGGAAGCGCCATTTGAGTCAATCAATGAATATATTTTCACTTTGACCAGTCATGTATGTTATTGGTATGTATTCTTCTTTTTAATATTCTTTTTTTGTTTTCGGACACGTTTGTGTCACATATAATGTTTCAATTTCAGGGAGTCCGAGGACACAATGCTGATGATACTAAAAGAGATTTATGGCTCAATGGGTATTCAAGCAGATGCACAACTGCCTCCACAAACCATGATCATCGAAAGGTCGTCACCTTCACAGTCGACAACCTCCGGCCCTTCAACGTCAAACACAACGGACTCTCTTGCAGCGTCTGCATTGTCTAGTCCTATAGGAATGGATCCAACGGCACCTATCACGAATAATACAGTGGGACCACCACCAACTTCTGGCTTTGTTTACCGTAAATCGTGATCCACGCCGACAAATAATTTCTTAGAGCTTAAGCATGGTTTATGTGGAAGCGTTCAACAAATTTCTGAGTGGAAGTGTCCCAGTTAAAGTGAGAACATAGTGCGCGATAAATGAAACTCACTCTACAGTGACTATTTTATCTCAAGATTATCATTCTGATAATGAAAGTATGATTTACGGAGCATCGTGTTGTAAAAATAATCAAAAAAAAAAATGGATTTTTTAGCGTAAATCGCTTTTTTCAGCCTTGGAGTTATACACCAAATAGAGTATTAAGAAATTATGTTATTATTGGTCTAACATTTATCTTAATCCCTCATAAAAAATGATACAGAAAGAGGGTACTATGAACAATGAATGTTTTTCTATAATAAGGAAGAAGCTCGCTATAAAAGAGTGAATATTGATTGCGAGCTTTTCATCGTGCACGAAAATATTTTAATAAAAGGCTGTATTCTTCTAAATGCCTGTCTGTACTAATCGTGTTTTACATAAAAATTCGGAATCCATAAGCCAGCGATTTACAGTAATATGTACATGAGAGAACATTTCGTTTGGTAGGGTAATCGATTAGGAAAGAAGGCTACAGCACGTGAGATCTATAATCTTGTGCTGTCGCTCGTAAGAACTCTTAGGATTCCCTTTGAGAAGTAAAGTTCTTAAGAGTGTACTGAAGGTTACACAGAGTTGCATTACGTGTTCAAGGAAGGAGGTTGGTATTGTCGAATGGTGTTAGCTTATCGCGCGCGTTACTTAGCGAGTCTATATAAAAAATGCTTCGGCACATGCACGGCTATCACGAAACACTAATTAATTGCGGGGCAACCCTCATAGGTCTTACCTTCCACGATATTGTCAAGGATGAAAGTGCTGCTAGGTGAATAGGTGGGTAGTGGGTAGTCAGTAGGTTAGGACTGAGGGTTAAGAACATTTGCATTTTGCGTGCGAGGTCTCGTGAACTACGAGAGCCGTCAGCTTATGTGAATTTCACGATGATTTATCGTAATTACCGGACTCACTTTTCGCCATGCTTTACGCTTTCGAACGCAGCTCCACGCGAATATTTACGTTTTTAACTCACTGAATAAGACGCCGACGAACGCTCCATCTTGCGGAAATTTGCACAAACCCGGACTCAGTCGGTCTTCAGTCATTCCCCTCTAACGCCCCTCTAATTCTAGTTATTCTTCTTCTTTCTTTTTCTTCCTCATTAAGTAAGTATAGTTTCTGCCCTCGTCTAGTTCTCTCTTCTCTCTTCATTCTCCTGATCCACCAACAAACGTAGACACTCCCTTTCAGCCCCTGATCCATCGTTATGCACTTTAAGCTGCTTGCATTCTGGCCAGCGCACACAAAGGTGTATTTAAATAAAATTACTTTATGTAACAGGCACGAATGTAAGCGCTTTAAATCCCAGTGCATCGTAGTGCTGCCAGTGGCCAAGATGTCGGATGAAATCGCGCCCAAGACCCTGTGAGTACTTTATTCGATTTCATCAGCAGGATTCTCCATTTGTTTCACACTTCTTTCTTCCTCGTCAATATTTTACTCTTACTGATTATTTAGATTTGATTCTGTACCTCTCTCTCTTTCTCTCTCTTATGTTTCTAATGATACCTTTAAGATATCTTCAATTTTGCTTATCAGTACTGCCATTCTGACACATGTCTTCCGTCTCTTCCGTTACCGATCGCGAAGTCATCCTACGTGTTGTGTCTTGAGCATTTCTAAGCTCTCTAGGTTACTCAGTGAGCGATGTGTGTGCTAATTATAGATAGAGTCTCCCTACTGTATTTACCTATTTAATTGTATTGTTCCCTTTATAATTTATCCCATCTTTATCAACTTCTATCACTCCCATGTTTTCCTTTTAGAATACAAAGATTTGAGTACACTACAGGAAGCTCATACACTGTACTTACGCTGGTACAGTTATTTTTCATCATAATTTCCATCTGCGTATTTAGATACGTTGGAAATCTGGACCACAGCGTATCGGAGGATCTACTCTGCGCCCTTTTCTCGCAGATCGGCAATGTTAAGGGCTGCAAGGTCATCAGAGAGGTGAGACTCGCTTTACACGATTGTTCGCACGCTAGATAAAACGATCCTCGAGACGATCTTTTTTTTTTCACGTTAACCTAACATTTCGACTATTGCATACTCAAAAAAATATGTATCAGCTCATGCTTATTGTTGATTTATTTATATCTTGACCGATATTCATAAGGTTATTTATTAATGCTCGAAATTGCCCTCAATTTTTATAATCAGTATTTTTCATCGCGGCCATCACGCTTGTTTCAACAGAGAAAAACTGTTTTCAGAGGCTTGAATACATGAACGCGTTACCCTTATATACGGTGGCCACCGCTCACGTGCTGTTCAGGTTTGTACACTTTTCTCCTTGATTCTCGCAGCGAGCCTATATTATTTATTCTTGCTGCATGCTTCGCGATTCACAAATAACGATCGATAAAGATCGACACTTATCTTACAGATAAACGTGATATCTTCGATAATCTTTTTTATACTCTATTCCCTTTTTTTAATTCCTTCTTATATCAGTAGACTCTTCACGAATCGGAGTTACGAAATAATGTGTATATAATTAATGTACAATGAATGGACCAGTACAGATTTAAATTAATCAAGGAGACTAGTGCGCAAAGCGAATAGTGGATTAATAAATAAATCGCCATTAGTGATTTAGCGTTTCAAGTTTAGGAAGACTGTGGCATTTTGTTCATGCACTGAACCTTGACGTGTTACGCACGTTAACGAAAGAGAAATGGATGAAAGGAAAAGGTATGACCGTAAGAGCGTGTATAGTTGCAGTCAGTTGTTCGCAGCTCGCAGGTCGTCGTCGTTTCCTAGGTTGGCAATGCGGAATCCTTAATTAGTGCTGATCGGTGTGTGGAGCGTAACGGTAAGTATGTCAGTCGGCAAGCGCCATCTTGGATTTAAATGTTGGATTACAGATTTCAGTTCTTGCAATAAATGTGGATGAAGAAATAGGGTTTATATGCGGTATCTTGCTGGAGGATAAAAATGATGTAATAAAAGTAGGAAGGTATTACGGCTCCAGGAAAGTATTTTACTGAAACCTAGATTATTGTAGCCATTAAAAAGTGGGGATTATCGTTATAGATTCACCTGCCCCCTTGGCATAGACGTATTTCGCTGTACCCGGATCATTTTACTGGTTAATCTATCAACATTTTATGCAACCCGCATAAGCAGCGACGGCGCACCGGTATTTTCCTTTATTATCTATAAACGGCTTAATAGGAAAACAGATTTATGGGAGAATTCTCATAGTGAAAATACGAGGGTCATCCATATCCATATCCGTATTGAATCTCACATCGGTTACGATACGGTCACTCTACCTAGTTTCACATTGATTCGTTAGATATTCTCAAACTATGATCGTTCGATGTTATTGATAATTATTCCGAAAAGAATAGAAACTACGGGAAGAATACAGGAATTTTCACGAAGGTATAATCAGTGAGTTGTCACGCGTTTCAGGTAATACGAAATTATCCTACTAGAATTGTACAACTTGAAATTACTCGACTGCGGAAAGCGCATACCAAACGACATCGGTCGCTAGAATTGTACTGTCCGAATGTTCCCATGCACAGACGTCTGAAAGAAGTCTTCGAGGACCACATACGACAATTTTATGCAAGATACCAAGAAAATAGATATCCGATCTTTAACATTGTGTCTCTACTGACAATCTTTTCAATTTTGTCCAATTTTCTAAGTAACTTCTGGCACGGGACCACCAGCTCCCCGTCTCTGTGGACTCGCTTCTTCCGGATGATCCTCAGTACCTTTTCAGTAGCCATTTAGAGCGATCGTACGTGCTTGACTCGCACGAGTAGAAAACAGTCTGTACTTTATTGTAGGTTTTGATTTAAGGGCTTTCCGATGTTTCACGAATATCTGGCAAAGGGCGGTGGGTGGCGAGTCGGAGGGGGGGAGGGGGAGGTAGGTAGTCTGACATCGCAGCGGATTCTCTGGAAGTTCAGGAGCTGACATACACGTCTCCATTATGCACACACGGACGTATACGATACCACATGGTTTAGGTGTATCGCTCGGGATTGGTCGTCGTCGTCGTCGTCGGCGTAGTCGTTTCGCCTTTGGCGAATATCCAAGGAAGTCGTCGTGTCTCTCAGCCGTCTGCTCGATTCGCCTACGCGTTTGGATATCCTTCGCCAGAGATGGCTTCTCTTAAACGTATTCCTGGGAAATGCATCCTCATTCCGTAGCTCAGGTCTATCTACCTCGAGCGTTCCATATTCCTCGGGTTTTACTTGGGTACTTGGCGCGACACTTCATTTCTTTGTACGAATCACGAAAAATATGTATGATTGACATTGAGGTACGAAGGGGAATGCCCGTTTTCGTCAATTGCATATACTACCCGAAGAAAGTCTACATTTTCATTGGGAACAAATTATTGGTTAATTGTACTTGCATGGGGTGATTGTACTTGTACTCTTAGGCCTATGACGGTACCAGTATTGTATAAGGGTGGATCAAGACTTACCCCTAACAGGGATAACGTGAGTTTATTATTAAGATATACGATCGAGGGTGGTAGTAAGTGAAGGGTAACAGTTCTACCAACATTAACTCGACTACGCAACGCACGTTCGGCGCCTGAAGCATTCGAGGTATTTCGACCTATGATGCATGTTCTAGAAATTATTCCAATAACTCACAAAGTGTGATTGCCCAGTGCGTGCCCTTAGTTTGAACTCAACCCTTCTTCCTGTTGCGTAATCATGTTTCCTGTTCACAGTGTCGTAACTCGGTGCCGAATAAAATCGCGTTTATTCCCTTATCCAAAGATCCTCATCTATCCTGAAATATGACGGAAAGCATCAGGAGGTATCACGCGGTGTTGAGGGCCGATGAAAGGTGGCCTAGAGACGTGGTGGGTGGAACGGAAGGGATTTTGGGGTAGTAGCGAGCAATAAAGCGATAAATCAGCCGAACGGAAAAATAAGGGGGTAAAATAGAAAAAGCTTGTAGAATGGAGTAGATTTGGAGTCGGGCCAGGGCGAACAGCGTGCAGTCACTCGGTGTCTGCTCTGTGGCAGTCGCTGTGGCCTGTGTGCCTGACTTGCTGCCTGACTGCCTGTTTTGTGGCCGCCTTCGTTCTCCGTGTCTCCATTCCTAGGTTATAGCTCCAGCTCCAGTCGTAGATCTGGCAGCCTGGCCGAGCTGCTGCCTTAGCGCCTATACCTATCTATCCGCCTCCCAACCCTTTGGCTCGGATATGCCAACATTCTCTATGGTTTTCCGATTCACATCATAAATCGCACCACTGCAAATAGTTCATAAACAAAAATCAGCTTTCCGCGGCTCTTGACTACAGTATGGAAATAGATTCCCACAATTTGCTTTAAGTTTCAACAGACGCGATATGACTGGCATAAGA